GACAGCTGTGACGCCGTGCGGCGCTCGCTGCAGGCTGCCGTCATGCTGCTGGCGGAGTGACATCTCCTCTGTTTCTCTCTCACTCTCTCTTTCTGTTTCTTCCGCAAAGGGGTGTGCGTGCGGCACGCGACCCTGCTCGTTTTCCCTCTTGCCGCCCGTATCGATGTGTGGGGGGGGGCACGCGTGAGTGCCGCTCCTGCAGCGGTGTTGCCGCACCTGCACACATATACGCATACCCATCGGACTGCCCTCTGTTTCTCCTTCGCTCTCAATTTTCCCTCGATTTACGCTCCCCAGTGTTTAGGTTGCAACTGCTTTGGTTTCGATTAGGCCGCCGTTAGAGGAGTAAGCAAACGAAAAACAAAAGGAAACGCCCGAGGAGAAGTGCGCGTCGTTTGCCCCCTCCCNCGATTAGGCCGCCGTTAGAGGAGTAAGCAAACGAAAAACAAAAGGAAACGCCCGAGGAGAAGTGCGCGTCGTTTGCCCCCTCCCCCGCCACTAGTGAGGGCCCGTCCAAGTGATACAACACCGCATCCACCCACATGACGATGCAGTACGGTGCCGTGCCGCCGTACGTGGCGTACCCGCAGCGCTACCCCGTTGCCGTTAGCCAAGGTGGCATCGCCGCCATCCCGTCTCTTAGTAAGTCACCCATGATCCGCGATGTGTGGGAGGACAACCTAGAGCAAGAGTTCAGCCTCATCCGCTCCCTCATCAAGGACTATCCGTATGTTTCGATGGACACCGAATTCCCCGGCGTCGTAGCGAAGCCCGTTGGCAGCTTCAAGGCAACACACGAGTTCTACTACCAGACCTTACGGTGCAATGTGAATTTACTGAAGATGATTCAGCTAGGCATCACACTGCTCAACGAGAAGGGTGAGGTACCGGAGAACTGCTGCACGTGGCAGTTCAACTTCCGTTTCTGCCTCACTGAGGACGTGTACGCGCAGGACAGCATCCAGCTGCTGCGCCACGGCGGCATCGACTTTGATTACTTCGCGGAGTTCGGCGTGGAGGTGACGCACTTCGCGGAGCTGCTCATCTCGAGCGGCCTCATCTTAAACACCGAGATCCGCTGGCTCGCGTTCCACGCCGGATACGATTTTGGTTACTTGATGAAAGTAGTCTGCGGCAAGGACCTGCCGGAGAAGGAGGAAGACTTCCTGCAGATCTTCCACTCGCTGTTCCCGTGCGTGTACGACATTAAGTACCTGCTGCGCTCGACGGAGCTCTCGCACTCGCTGGGGCTGGACCACCTCTCCGAGAGCCTGCGCGTGCGCCGCTTCGGCATGGCGCACCAGGCCGGCAGCGACTCGCTGCTCACCGGCCACTGCTACTTCAAGCTGCTGCGCGAGTGCTTCAGCGGCAACTCCCCTGTAGCAAACAACGGCGTGCTGTACGGCCTCTGCGAGGATGCGTCATCGGCGGCAACGCCCAGCAGCACGACGATCCCCGGCGGTAGTGCGCACTCCTTTGCGTCCTTCGCCGTCGGCAAGAACACCGGCTTCCCCTCTACCCCGCTCACACATACGGTGAAGGGACACAACTAGATGCCCCTCCACACATCGCAATGATGGAGGTGGGATCAAAAACAAAAAAAACAAAAACAAAGAGAAAATACGAGAGAATAGAGGAAACGTAAGGGAGAGAAGGAAAGAGAATGGGAATGCAAAGAAAAATCAATAGGTGAGAAAGACGTAAATGATATATACATTTATATACACATGTATGCATGTATGTATCTATCTACCTATATATCTACATATATATATATATATCTGAGGCGAGGAAAATCCTTTATACCATAGCAAAAACTGAAAAGCCCTGTGAGGTCTCTAATTTGGTGCTCCCTTCTTGCCACACTTTTTTCATCTGTTCCATTGTGGCGGCTCTGTGCTAGTGGGAGTTCAAGGGTGTGTAGGCCCTTGCCGCTAAAGCTGCCGCAGCTCTTTGCTATCTCCCCCTTCCCCTTCTCGCGTGCCCAAGGGAAAAGTAGAAGCAGCAACAGCAGCAGCAAACAAGTATTTATATTTATATTCTTGCATATAAAGACAAGCTGTATGTCTGCCGTCAACGAGAACTCGTCGGACTTCTGGTCCAACCCAGTGGATCACTTCCGCCCCAACCTTAAGGCACTGACGCTGTACGCCGACTACCAGTACTTCATCGACAACTGGCTCCATATCAAGGAGCGGTGGCTGGCGCCATGGTACATGCCGTGGTGGATGCCCATGTACCAGATCGGTACGTGGTACTCGCAGCGCACGAGGAACCTCTTCCTGGTGGAGAACCACCTCAGCTACCGCCCGTACAAGTATCGCCGCAACGACGAGGACCGCAAGAACCCGTACTGAGGAGGTGTTGTGTAGGAATAGCGCAGTAGCAGTAGGAAGCGCATCCATAGGCCTCGTGGATATGTGTGTGCGCGTGTTTGTCTGACGAAGAAAAGGTGTGTCTGTGTGAATATATGGGAAGGAATGGGACATCACCGAGACGAATGAGGGAAGTGATGATGAATACGACAGCCCGCGGCGATTGTTTGCCCCCCACCCCCCTCATTTGTGTCTGGGCTGTTGCTGACACCCCCATGTACGTACTCTCCCCTCCCTCGCTTCCCCTCGGGGATCAAAGGAAGAATAAGCGGACGAGGAGACACAGAAAAAAAAAAATGGTGACGCCACGCCGTGTTGGGTGTGAAGTTGTCGCCTCGCCCAAGTCGAAAACGTTTGGTGCCTGTTGATGACGCGTGCCCCTCTGCCCCCCCAGCAACTCTCTTGCGCGGCTTGAAGGAAGCAGGGGAGGAAGCGAGCACTACTCAGGAAAAAGAAAAACACACAGCAGCAAGAAAAGCAACAAAAGAAAAAAAAGAGAACCCCGGAAGAAACGAGAATAGAAACATGTCGGAAGCCTCCGAGTCGCTGCAGTTCGATGATGATGTCTTGGAGACTCTCGTGCAGACACTGACGGCTGACCGCGGCGTGCGCGTTGCGGCGTGTCTGCCGCATGTCCTCAAGGAACTTGCGCACGGCCCATCCGCGTCGAGTCCGCAGCGCCGCGGGGAACGGTGGGGACGTGGCGAGCAGCAGCAGCAGCAGCAGCGTGCCGCCGCAGTGGCGCGGGTGA